ACGCTCCTGACCCGCTCTTGACCTGCTGTGTCCCATAATTGCAATCGTACCTAACAATAAAATCAGTCAAACAAGCAAGAAAAATAAGAAAGGTCAACCCATTGCAAAATACCTACTTGTGATATCGTAAACTACTACGGCTGCAGCAGAATCACGGATGTAACTGGGAATGAGGCTACGGAAACGTTCCTGACCCGCAGTATCCCATAGCTGCAGCCTGATCTGTGAAGAAAAATAAGAAAGGTCAACCCATTGCAAAATACCTACTTGTGATATCGTAAACTACTACGGCTGCAGCAGAATCACGGATGTAACTGGGAATGAGGCTACGGAAACGTTCCTGACCCGCAGTATCCCATAGCTGCAGCCTGATCTGTGGGATGGGAAAAAATAAATAAAAAAAAAAAACCAAACTCATACTAAAAAGAAATAATGTTTTTAAAGGGAGGAGGGTGGCAAGGAGGTAAAAAGGAAACTCATGCAAAAGGTTACAGGGATGTGAGGAATGAATAACACAAAACTCCCTTCCTTTTTCAAAAGGGAATAATATTTAAATTTGGCTTGCTCTGAAGGTACGTAACTCAAAAAAATGGCAATATGAAAGATTTCACAGAATAAGAAGTACAGCTTCCTTTTTTTCCCCTCCCTGTAACCTCTCTTTGAACCCTATGCATTCCGGAGAGCAAAAGTAGACTGCTGATGTTCAAATAGTGAACATAAAAGGGAAACACAAAGGTAAATGTCAGTGATCATTGTCAACATCCCCTTTTCTGCAAGCCTCTCTGAAACTAAAATAAAATGTCTCTTTTCTCTATTGGAACCAGAACACTTTGAAATTGAATCTCTGATTACTGTGCTTATGCTTCTCCCACACATTTCTTCCTAGAACACTGTATATAATCTAGCAAAAAGGAGACATATATTTTTGCAACCCTACGTAAAAATATCTTTACTTTCTTACTTTTTCACATCTACATTCCAGGAAGAAAAGCCTGAAAACAAGCATTAAGTTCTCTTACCATCATAAAGCAGTTTCTGTTTTCAAATTTTAAGAAATAGAATGCTATATGTTAAAACATAAAAGAGAACATCCAAAAGAAAAAAACTCACAAACTTATAAGAAAGAGCATTAGAGATAACTTTTTTGGGTATAGATCCCAAAATAATGCATTTGAGAGAGTCACTGTTTAGGTGACAGGAATCTCTTCAAGGGATAGCAGGCTAGAATACAGGATTTATATTGCACTTAAAAGGAGTATTCCAAAAGATGGAAGACAAAAATCTAACATGTAAATGCACATTACTTTTTTCTATTCATAGTCACTTTGGTACATATCATATTCTGACAAATAAAAAACCTTGAAGTTCACAAATTGTGTGATATTCAAATGAAATCTTTTTGAATGCCTCAAGAGTGGTATTCAAAAGGTCTTTAGCAGCTCTAATTTCTTCTTGAAAATATTCTTATCTCAATGCTATTTGTTATAATTTTCCAAATCAAGACAAAATTTTGTTTAACAAGTCTAGGGCCATCAGAGTTTTACAAATAACGGCTTTCTCTCCCCTTTGGATTCTACTTGGGGATAGAAAACTCAAAGTGCTAAGTACTACTCACTCTATAATAACAGTTTTTCTCAAGGCCTGTAAACTAACTTTGGCAACTTTGCTAAGTACTTCTTATGGTGACAATCATCGATTATAGTTTTCATCATAATTTTCTATCCTGGAGTGTTGCAGAAAATCGCACACTGAAAACATTACTCACTGTTCGATCCTCTAAGTACATTGTTTTTGATAAAAAGTCAATACCAATGGTTGCCTGTAAAACAAAACAAAACAAAACAAAACAAAGAAGTTAAAAATAGTAATAGTTTAATGGCAGTCAGCAGTTTAGGGTTCAAGTGGGAATTATGATTGTGGAAGAAATAAAGAATAAACATATAAACATATCATAGCCAAATAAAAATGAACAAAATTTTCAGTGATAATGGCTTCTACCTACTGAGCACTTGCTGTGTATTAGAGATTCTTTTAAGCCCTTTACATGATCATCTCTAATGCTAATACATCTCTACAAAGTAGCTAGTAGCATCATTATTTTTCTCATTTTATACATAATAATATTGGGGTTTGGAGAAGTTAAATAACTTGTCTAAAGACACAAAGCTTCTGCTGTGGAGTTGGGAATAAAAGTCCAACTCTGGGCTTCCCTGGTGGCGCAGTGGTTGAGAGTCCGCCTGCCGATGCAGGGGATACGGGTTCGTGCCCCGATCCGGGAAGATCCCACGTGCCGCGGAGTGGCTGGGCCCGTGAGCCATGGCCGCTGAGCCTGCGCGTCCGGAGCCTGTGCTCCGCAACGGGAGAGGCCACAACAGTGAGAGGCCCGCGTACCGCAAAAAAAAAAAAAAAAAAAAAAAAAAGACCCGGCACAGCCAAATAAATAAATAAATAAATAAACAAACAAATAAATAAATAAATATAAAATAAAGATAGGTTTTATTTTTAAATTGTCATAAAATTTGACATTTTAGGTGTATAATTTAATGGCATTAATTACATTCACAACTGTACAACTGTCAACACTATTTACAAAACTTTTTCACCACCCCAAACAGAAACTTTGTACCCATTAAGCAATACCAAATTACAATGTATGGATATATGACAATTTGTTTATCCATTCATCTACTGATGGACACTTTTGGCTACTATGAGTTCCTGTTTTCAATTCTTTTTGGTATACACCTAGGAGTAAAATTGCTGGGCCATATGGTAATTCTACTTAACTTTGTGAGGAAAGTTTCTACAGCAGCTGTGCTATTTTAAAGTCCCACTAGTGATATATTCCTATTTTCCCTTTTCTCTATAAATAGCCATCCTAGTGGGTGTGAAGTGAAATGTTACCGTGGTTTTTGATTTGCATTTTTCTAATGACTAATGATGCTAAACATCTTTTCATGCTTTCAGGTGCGTATTGGTCATTTGTATATCCTCTCTGGAGAAATGTCTATTCAGTCCTTTGCCTATCTTTAAATTGAGTTTGCCATTTTGTTATTGATTTGTAGGAGTTCTTTATATATTCTGGATATTAAATCTTTATCAGATATGTAACTTTCAAATATTTCCCCCTATTCTGTAGGTTGGGCCTGGTGCCTCTACTGAAAATCAATTGTCAAGAGATATATATATTTATTTATAGGTTCTCAATCCTATTCCATTGGTCTGTATGTCTACCCTTATGCCATTACCACACTGTTTTAATTACTGTAGCTTTGTAGGAAATTTTGAAATTGGGAAGTGTGAGTCCTCCAACTTTAATTTTCTTTTTCAATAATACCTTGGCTATTAATATCTTGGTGAATTAGGATCAGGTCTTTCATTTCTACAAAAATGGCAGTAGGAATTTTGATAGGGATTGCACTGAACTTGTAGATTGCTTTGGGTGGTTGGTACTGACATCTTAACAATGTTAAGTTTTCTGATTTATTTACCTAGGATGTCTCTCCATTTAATTAGGTCTCCTTTATTTTTTTTTGAGTAGTTTTGTTGATTTCCATTTCACACAGACTTGTATTTTAAAACAAACAACAACAACAGAAGAAGATGTTTCCTCCTTTATCCCAAACTATGTGACTAATACACAACCTAAGTACTAATTCCACCTTATGACATTCAATCTGAAAATTATATCTGCCATAGGGTGGGACAATGGGCTTATAAATTTGAATTACTATGCAAGAGTATCTAATTGACAAACCTCAGGAGTGTACAGGAGTGGCATAGCTGCATTTAAGAAATCTCACCATTTACTCATCATTTACTCAGACAGTGTGGCAGAGGTAGTTAACTACCTACACAAATATCCATCTATCCCTTCCTCCTTACTAACACAATCAAACATTTACTTAAAACCATACTCTTCCCATGAAAAAAATTACATTTTCCAGGATTCTTTGAACTTTAAATAAATGGGGTTAACTCAGTTGGGAGGTACATTCTTGTTTTTTCCCCCCTTTTTCCGTCTTTCTTCCTGAACTGTGGCTACCAAGGCTGAAACTCCAGGAACCATTCAGTAACCATGAGGCAAATTTCAATATGGAAGTCATAGATCAGGTTAAAAAGACAGTTAGAAGGAGTCTTGGTCCTGGATGACCATGGAGCTGCCACACAAGCGCTGAAACACACTACCTTTAGACTTCTTTTACATGAAAAAAAATTCTCATGTCACTTATCAATGTTATTTTGTGTTTGTTATAAACAGCCCAAAATGATTTTTAATGGCTATAAATAGAAACAAGCATTTTCAGATCTCACAGTCAAGACATATAAATGTCTATTTTCTCTTGCTAGAGAAGGCAGCAAGAGAAAACAGCCTTCTCTAGCAAGAGAAAAACATATAAATGTTTTTACAATTAGTACAAAGTCAGACTTTATGATAAAATGTACAACAGTCCCCTCCTTGCACTGTACTATTCTAGTTTTGGGGCATCAGTTATACCACTGATCAAGATTAACCTGAAAAACATCCTGTTGTTACTCTTCTTTTTAGTTAATTTTATTCCGAGCTGAGCTACTACAGCATAGAAGTCGATCAGCTGTAAGAATTAAGCCAACAGCAGGAAGAAAAGAAAGGAGATGGCTGGGAAACTAACCGTTATCAGCTTTTCCAGCATCGTGAATGCTACTGATGAGGAACTAATTCAAATTTTCATAAAAGATGGATGAGACATTAGTGCTGCTTCTTGCTCATCTCCTTAAAAAAATGCAAAAGGCACTAACTGCAGAAGAAACCAAAGGTAAGAGAAAATTCTCCCATGTATCTTAATTTACAACTTCATATTATCTTAAATGTTAACTAATTCATTGGTTTTGAGGGGGCAGGGGTCTGCTTTTAAAAAAAAAACAAATTAAACTGAGTACTTATAAAAGGAGCTCACAATTCAAGATTGAACAATGGCTTATCCAAATATATTGGAGCCAAGATAACAGTAACTTTTACTTGTTTAGCTATTTTATTTCCTCCACTTAGAATGGTGCTTATTTACCCCAACAGCTATTTTATAAAAGATTCAGATGTAAGCTACTATTCTGTCTGACTCCGTAAATAGTGGTTTGTCACCTGTCCTGATGCCACAGAAGCCAGAGACCCATAAACATTATGATTTTCCATATGGGACATGATTTTTCCAATACAAAACTAGGTAAGGAAAACAAGTTTTCTTCTGTATGAAGCAATGATAATCAGTTTCCTTCTGTGGTCCAAACACATGTAAAGCTCTGTTGCCTGGTTGCTGCCTTCTCTAGCAAGAGAAAATAGAGAAATAATGAGTTGAAAGAGGCAATGACCAAAGGAAGAAAAGAGTGGGGAAGTTAAAAGAATTTAAAATTGAGTAACAGAGATAAATAAAAAGAATGAGGAAAGGAAAATGACCCCAGAAAGAAGATGCTGATACAGAATCCGGTTTAGAAGGGAATCCCATTTAAAAATATGTTTACATATATGTACATATGTGGGAAAAAATATATGTATATACATTTTTCTCCTAGATATCTTTGTGCCATATTATATTTCTGTCGATTAGGACAGAAACTAGGTAGAGTCTGTGAATTTTAAAAATGAGTCATTAAAATGGACATAAAATTTTAGTTATGCAAGGTGAACAAGTTCTAGAGATCTGCTGCACAGCATTGTGCATAGAGATGACAATGCTGTATTGTATACACTTAAAAATCTAATAAGAAGGTAAAATCTCATGTAAGTGTTTTACCACAATGAAAAAAAAGAACCTCACCCCCACCTCAAATAAAATGACAATACTTCTGGAAAAGGAAAAAAAAAAGTCATTAAAAATTAAACAAAAATAAAAAGACAAATCAAACACAGAATCAGCAAAACAGTCCATCTAGTTAAGGATTTTGTTTCTACTGATAAACTAGAATTCTGTATAGAATAATCTAGAGCTTTAACTTAAAGAAATTAAGGATATATTTATTCACTACCACCATCTTTCTGGACAAGTTCATTAGAGTGTCTAAAACCCACTGTTTGGATTTCTCTGGTGGTGCAGTGGTTAAGAATCCGCCTGCCAATGCAGGGGACACAGGTTGGTTCCCTGGTCCGGGAAGATCCCACATGCCACAGAGCAACTAAGCCCGTGCACCACAACTACTGAACCTGCGAGCCACAACTACTAAGCCCACGTGCCACAACTACTGAAGCCTGCACGGTTACAGCCCATGCTCCGCAACAACAGAAGCCACGGCAATAAGAAGCCCGCACACCGCAACAAAGAGTAGCCCCAGCTTGCCACAACTAGAGAAAGCTTGCACGCAGCAACGAAGACCCAATGCAGCCAAAAGTAAATAAAATTTTAAAAATAAATAAATAAAACTCACTGTTTTATCTATGCTGTCCTGAACTTAACTGTTGATCTGTAACAGCCTTTGGAATAAGAAATTCTCTAAATTCAAAGTAATCCCTAAGGTTACTCTGAGCAATATAATCTTCCTCAAATAAAAGAATTAAACTACTCCAACTGTGGGAGTCCTTCCCGAGCTTATTTACATTAAGCTGAACTATATAAAATGGCCAATATTATACCATTTTTGAATGATAAAAATAACAATGTAATATGGTTCAAACTGATATAGTTGAAACTGTTAGAAAAGTCTGTTGGTTTATAATTGGTAAAAGAAAAAGAAGTGGTGAATGCTAGAGCAACTCAAGAGAAACACTTCCAGACTCTCTAACTAGAAGAAATAAGTTTCCCAGATAACTTAGATTTTTTGCTTTACTTTGAAATAATGACCAAAATATGGTCAATTAAGGACTCTTCTGGCCAACCAGTTTAGTCTTTTTCAAATGAAATTAATTCAGTGCAAAGGAATCATAAATAGGGCATGAATTATGAATTACATAAAATTTATCTTTTTTGTGAAATAAAACTTCACTAAGTTTCAGATATATATTACATATGGCTCAATAATACATTTTTAGCTATGAGACTAGCTCTTCAATTATTCATTTCAGAAGTCTTTCTCTTGTGTGTATGGTGGGGGTAGGCATAGGGAATCTTCAAATAATCCATTGAACAACCCTTCACCTGATAACTAAGTTTGCAGCTAACGACATATGGTCAATTCTTCACATATCAAGTTAATACTTGATATGCTGTCAAGCTGATTTCCCTAGGTAAGGATGTGGGGTGCTACATTATCCAAATTTTCCTGTTAGAGCTAAACTAATACCTCGGACTGTACCTAATTCTTACAAAAACTTGTAGTTTACATTGTAAATCAGTGTCTCCTATTAATGCCAAAGTACAATGATATTTTGGCTTCACTAGCAACAACTTCTTCACAAAGAATCAAAATCTTTCCTTATCTCTCAAATTCTATGTAACCTCACCCCATCAACATCACTGCCCTTATAAATGTCTGAATGAACAGCAGCAAAAGTCTTAGTGCATAAGTAGCAACAGCACTTTAGGTGTGCCGGAAAGATCTCCTTAATTTCACAGAGAACTTGGGTAAAGTGAAATACTTCAGAAATACTCAGAGAACTCCAACTACAGGCTCTAGTTCATAATTCTTTAGCCTAAGACTCTGACTCTAGTTCAAATTTTTTAGCGTATGGTATTTGGTTCCACTCCCAAAGATTTGAGCTCAACTCTCTCAGGAACTTTCTACATATGGCTCAATGACATCAATACTTTCTTCAGTCCCTAAGACTGGTATTTATAGTTTCTCTGCTGAAGAGAGAGAGAAGCATTTGCTCAGAATCAAAATATGGTATGCAAGAGGCCATCTAGGTGAAGCTATAAGCTGTAGAGTTGCAGGGACCTAGAAAATTGAGGATATCCGATACAAACGGGTCCAAAGAAACCCGAAGTACTCTTGCTAACTGTACTATTTTTTCATTTCTAAACTTGCTCTTTTTATAGTGTCTTAAGATGTGACTAAACCATTTCTGAAATATTCAAAAGAATGTAATAAAATTTATACTATACATATTCATTGGCTTTTAAGAAGTGACTTTCCTTAAATGTCATGCTTATGTTTTAGTCATTCCTGTTTCGTGATCGTTATGGATTTTAATAAAAGGCTTAATTAGAAACAAATTCCTTTGGGGGTGAGATGGAAATGTTCTTAATCTTGATTGTAGTAGTAGCTTCATAGGTGTACATACCTGTCAAAATTTATCAAAATGTAAGGAATTAATAATTCTTTACTACTATCGATTATAAGATCCCACTGAGTATTTTGGATAACAGTCTTTTGTCATGTGTGCCTTTTGCAAATCTATGGCTTGTCTTCTCACTCTCTTAACACTGTCTTTGGCAGAGCAGAAGTTTCTAATTTTAATGAAGTCCAGCTTATCAACTGCTTCTTTTATGGATCATAGCTTTGGTATTGTATCTAAAAAGTCACTGCCATATACAAGATCATCTAGGTTCTTTCTCTCCAATGTTACCTTCCAGTAGCTTATTACAGAGTTTTACATTTAGGTCTGTGTTTAGGTCCATTTTGAGAATAACCTCTGTATCTACATTCATTTGCATGCGGATGACCAGCTGTCCCAGCACAATTTGTTGAAGAGACTATCTTTGCTCCATTGTACCGCCTTTGCTCCTTTGTCAAAGATCAATTAGAAAAACCTTTGTTTACATCTTAGTTCTACCATTTAGTAGTTGGATGGTTTTGGACAAATTGTACAAATTTGGACAAACTTTTTCCTAGAAAACAAATGCCCAAGTTTTTCAGTTTTCTTAGTGTTCAAACCAGAAGGCATATCCCTGAAATAAAATAAATATTTCAAATATGGGAAAATAGATACTAAAAAAGGGACAGGATTCAGATTTTATATTTACCCTAAAAGCTTTCTGAAAAATAAAAAATGGTTTAATAATTGAGACAGAGGCAGTTAATTACTATGGAAATTAACCATTCCTTTAATCAGATCAATGTTTGATATACTCCTAAGACAAATAATTGAAATCAAGTTTTTATACTAACTACACAGTAATACAGATGTAAATTACTTCAATTAAAAGGGATTTTTAAAAATTTTATTTTAATAAGAATATTTCAAAAAGTTGATACAGGGACTCTCCTGGCGGTCCAGTGGTTAGGACTCTGCACTTCCACTACAGGGGGCGTGGGTTCGACCCCTGGTTGGGGAACTAAGATCCCACAGGCCGTGCAGCAAAAAAGTTAATACAGAATAAGATTTATAATGTGCTTAGGGCCTCAGTGAAAGTACCTGGTATGAAGATTACTAATTTATTCATTTTAGCCTTTTCTTTGATTTTCGTTTCACAATTAAGCATTTTAAACTAAGATACATACACACATATACTTAGATACACATGCAACTGAGAGCAGACATCCTTGTCTTGTTCTTGATCTTAAAGAGAACACATTCAGCCTTTAAACATTACGTCTGATGTTAGCTGTGGGTCTTTCATAGAGATGCCCCTTATCACATTTAGAAAGTTCCCTTGTATTCCTAATTTGCTAAGTGTTTTTATCATGAAAGGCTACTGGATTTTGTCAAATGCTTTTTCTGTGTCTATTGAAATAATCATGTGATTTTGTCCACACTGCGTGGCTTTTTTTTTTCTTTTTGGCTGCACTGCGTTGCTTGTAGGATATTAGTTCCCCGACTAGGGATTGAACCCAGGCCCTCAGCAGTGAGAGTGTGGAGCCCTAACCACTGGACTGCCAGGGAATTCCCCTGATTTTGTCCTTTATTCTATTCATATAGCGTATTACACCACTTTCTGTATGTTAAACCAACCTTGCAATCTTGGTACTAACCTACCAATCCTACTTGGTAAATGGTATAGAACCCTTTTTACAAGTTACCAGATTCAGTTCAGTAGTATTTTGCTGAGGACTATTGTGTTTATATTCATAAAGGATATTAGTCTGTAGTTTTATTTTTGATGTCTTTGCCTGGTTTGGGTATGAGAGTCATACTGACCTCAAGGGATAAGTTGGGAAGTATTTCTTCTTCTTCTGTTTTTGGAAGTTTACGAAGTATTAGTGTTGTTCTTTAAATATTTCATAGAATTGACCAGTGAAGCCATCTAGTCCTGCGATTTTCTTTGTAAGAAGTTTTTTGATTGATAACTCTATCTACTTATTATAGGTATATTCAAATTTTCTATTTCTTCTTGAGTTAGTTTCGGTAGTTTGTATCTTTCTTGGAATTCATCCATTTCATCTAGGTTATCTAATTTGTTGGCATATAACTGTTCACAGTATTCCCTTATAATCCTGTTTATTTCTGTAAGGTCTTCTCCTTCACTCCTGATTTTAATAGTTTGAGCCTTCTTTTTTCTTGATTAGTCTACCTTTAGGTTTGTCAATTTTGCTGATCTTCTCTAAGAACCACTTTTGGTTTCCCTGAATTTCTTGTTTTTCTGTTCTCTCTTCCATATATTTCTGCTCTAATCTTTATCAGCTTCTAAATTAAGCACGTGTTTATTTTCTGTATTTTTGTTGTCCTGACACCTGGGGCCTTCCTTATATTGGAGGGACTGGCCATCCCAGGGTTTGCCAATTCCTAGAGAAGTAAAACTTGCCTGTGGAGGGCCTTTAATACAAAAACCAACCAATCCAAACCCATATCCCAACCACCTCCTCTATCACACTCAGGGTCATTACTCCCCTGCCCTAATCACCCTAGGGCCAAGTAGCAGACAATTAGGAACAGCCCCTACAGTCCAGAGACCACTGAAGTTACTCAAAGTAGGCAATCCTATATTTCCTTACCTGGTCTTACCCAACCTTCCCACAGAAATCACAATACAGGCTAGTGCCTACATTTCCTGCTCACCCCCCCTTCACCTCCTGACCAATACCAGTACTTCTTCCATGTGCCCCCCTCATATGGCCGGGAGTGTCCCTTCCTCTTGAGATTTGTGAGTATAGTAAACTATCTTTACAATGGCAATCATCTCCTGATCTGTTGGCCTCACCACACCTGAACAATAAAACCTGCATTTTAAAGTAGTTTCTTACTTCTGCTTGCTTTAGGTTTACTTTTCTTTTTCTAGTTTCTTAGGATAGAAGATTAAATTACTGATTTAATGTATCTTTTCCTTATAACACTGCTTTAGCTGTATCCCATAAGTTTTGGTATGCTGTGGGTTTTTTAAAAAATTTATCTCGAAGTATTTTCTAATTTCCCTTGTGACTGTCTTTGACCCACTGGTTATTTACGAATGAGTTACTTAACTTTCCATATATGTGTGAACTTACTTCCCAAATCTCCTTCTGTTAATGATTTCTAATTATAGTACTCACTTATTCTTGACTTCAAGTATAGATGAAAATGTCACAGAATCCTAGACTTGGAGGAAATCTCTCCAAGAGAATAGCTATAATCACTCTTACTTCTATCCCAGATGGTATTAGCAATAATCTTTCAATAGATTTTGGAAGAGAAGCTAAAGAAATCAAATGAAAAAGTTGAGGACTAAGAGCATCATCAGTTATACTTTGTATTTATATAGAATTTTACAGATTACAGAAAATGCTTTTATATCCATGTCTGAATGTAAATAAATGAATTTTTTAAAGGACCTTGAGTATTACTTGTAACACATAAGAGACAACTAGTAGGTTGGCATAAACAAAATACCTGATAGGTGTTGTCAAAACTGTCATACATGAATCTGGTAATCAGTGATGTCTTTCCAACTGAAATGAAAAGGAAAAAAAAGATTGATTCAGTTAACACATTAAATTGGGTTCTCAAGCAATTTTTTTTTTTACAGAGAACTGCGATTCAATTCATTGGGAAATATCTGCAATGGTTCTACTAACAATAATTTACAAACATACAGGCCTGAGTTTGTTGAAATGTCTTTCTTTAACAACAAATAATCTCGGGACTTTCCTGGTGGTCCAGTGGGTAAGACTCTGCACTCCCAATGAAGGGGGCCTGGGTTTGATCCCTGGTTGGGGAACTAGATCCCACATGTATGCCGCAACTAAGAAGCCCACAGGCCGCAACTAATAAGCCCGCATGCCGCAACTATGAGCCCGCATGCTGCAACTAAACATGCTGCAACGAAGATCCCGAAGATCCCGTGTGCCGCAACTAAGACTCAGCCCAGCCAAAACAACTAGATAAGTTCTTCTTCCCCACACCCCTTCCTTTTCCTCTCCTCCTCCTTATAAAAAAAAAACCAAACAAACAAACAAAAGATAATCTCTCAAACTGAGAGCACAGGTAAAAGAATATTTATTTAGTTAAGAGGTGAGGAAAATGAAGAGAAAAGATGGAGGAAAACAATCAGTTATGCTGACATCTCTAATTCACAAAAGGCAAGCAGATATTTACTTGGGCCCTAACGAAAAGAACTAGGATTACACTGGGAAGAAATTATAGTTAACTTCCTGGACAGGAACCTGGAGAATATGAGGGTCAAGGTCCACTTCATTCAGTGAATCAAAGATTAATCTCGGGAAGCATAAACCCTAAATATGAAGAGTTCTAGGAGGGGTATGAGGGCTGCAAGAACTTGACTGTTTAAGAGTAAGAATGAAATGACATGGAAAATTGTTTTGAAACTCATTTCAGGATCAGATCTCTATTCTTTGGCAGGGCAATCCCAAAGATTCATAATACTACTTTGTATTGGTATTTTTACGTTAATCCACATGAAAGTGCCACTAGGTAAAAAATAGTGGTATACTGCCAATATCCTTACCAACGGGCAAGTGTTCAAGGGCAAGAACCATATCTAATTTTCCTATATCTCCAGTAGCTTGGCATAGATTCAATAAATACTAAATGATACAAGAAATTATATCAATTAGAAAAGAACTGAGCAAATAAATATCCTAAATGCTCTCCCAAATGTAAATACTTTGGGAGAAAAAAAAACAATACCTAGTCACTCATATTTTTGTATGAATTTAAGTAACTTTTGATTTCAACTTTTGATTTTTAGAGACCTGATCCTGGCCTCTTAAAATGTCCTCCATCCATGTGCTATACGAAAACCTGAGGAAAAAACTGAGCCAAAGAAGGAAGAATCCCATAAAATCACCTACTCCCAAATGTCTTATTTTAAAGAATCTAAAAGAGCAGGTTGAACAGCTAAAGCTAGTTTCCCTAGACCCTGGTCAAAAGCAAACTGATGTTTGGGAAGAAGTCTCTTTTTGGAGCAATGAGTAGACCTACGCATTTCTTCATTAGTAAATAGTACATACAGTTTTCACTTTTTTTTGAAAAATGTCCCTCCTTTTTTATATAAAAGAGCAAAATGCATGTTATAAAGCGGGCAACACAGAAAAGACCAAGAACAAAGTGAAAATTACATATATCCTACCACCTATACATAACTAACATTAAAACTTTGGTATATGTTTTTCCAAAATATTTTTTATATATAAGAATACCTATGTACTTAAAGGCAAAACCCTAGAACCAATCATATAGTAAAGTCAGGAACAATACACATACTACATTATAACACTGATCAGAATCTATTAAAAAGTAAATCTAAAAATCTGAAGAGATAAAAGGCAAAATAGTGGTGGGGGAAACGGTGGAGAAAAGCAAAGGAGCTTCATTATAAATAAAATATATAGTGAAGAAATGCAAAATAGCTTGTTTGTTGAAACGTTTTTTTTTTTTTTTTTGCGGTACACGGGCCTCTCACTGTTGTGGCCTCTCCCGTTGCGGAGCACAGGCTCCGGACGCGCAGGCTCAGCGGCCATGGCTCACGGGCCTAGCCGCTCCGCGGCATGTGGGATCTTCCCGGACCGGGGCACGAACCCGTGTCCCCTGCATCGGCAGGCGGACTCTCAACCACTGCGCCACCAGGGAAGCCCTTATAAATCTTTTTTTTAAATATAAGAAACTCACTGAATCAAATGAATACTAATTAAAGCAAATGTAGTGTACATAAAACTGAGGTAAGAGACCTCTAACTCCATAGGAAATCTACGAAATGATTAATCATTTTAAGAGAAGAATTATTTTTCCAGTAGCCCCACTGCTTTAAATATCATCTTCATGGGCCACCTTCTCCAATGGAATCTGAGGACCTAATACTGGTCTCAACCAACCAATTTCCATTCCGGCTTGAAGGGCTGCTGCAAACTGCTGAAATTCCTCCTTGGTGGATGAATAGAGAGCAACTCCTATTATGCTAGATTCCTTTGCCATGATGTCTCCCGTGGGTTTATTTCAACAGGACCTCTGCTGCCAACAACTATTACTCGTCCTCCATGTGACAAAGATTCAAATCATTGCTAAGATTTACATTAGCTAACATTTCAATAATCACATCAACTCCTTTTCACCAACAGATTTCTTAATTTTATCAATATAATTAGTTTCTTTGTGATTAAACACTTCGTGGGCCCCATTTTGCAAAACAGTGTTTTGTCCTTCCTCAGTACCAGCTGTGCCCAAAACTTTTAAGCCATAAGCTCTAGCAGTCTGGCATGCTGCTATCCCAACTCCTCCACTAGCTCCATGAACCAGAACACTTTCTCCAGCTTTCACACAGGCACTGTGGAGCAGAGCTCAATAAGCAGCAAAATACGGGATACTGATGGCAGCTCCTTGTTTAAAGTCCAGTTTTTCCGGCAGTGTGTAAGTAGGGTAATTGGCTGCCAGAGCATACTCTGCGTAGCCCCCAGAGATTGTGCTGGTAGTGAAAACTCTGTCACCTTTCTTGAAAGCAGATACACATTCTCCAACAGCTTCCGTTATCCCAGCCACATCTAATCCAGGAGTATAAGGTGGAAGTGGTTTTCTACTGTAGGTACCAGAGTGAGTTTGTGTGTCCACTGGGTTTACACTACACGCTTGGACTTTGATTAGAACCTGATCGTCTTTTGGAATCGGCATGGCAACATCCGACTGGAGTTTCATCACTTCTGGTCCACAAATTAAAAAACTCTAATAGCTCTCATCAACCTCTGTTCAGTCACCATGGTGATCTAGATACGAGTTCTAGAGTGGGAAATCAAAATCTGCGAGAGCTCCCTCAGATTCCATGGAAAAAAGGGCTGTGTGATGTATGATTTCATCTCAATAAAGCTGTTATTAAAAATCTATAGTGGGGCTTCCCTGGTGGCGCAGTGGTTGAGAGTCCGCCTGCCGATGCAGGGGACACGGGTTTGTGCCCCGGTCCGGGAGGATCCCATGTGCCGCGGAGCGGCTGGGCCCGTGAGCCATGGCCGCTGGGCCTGCGCATCCGGAGCCTGTGCT